AGTTCTGTTGCTTGAATTTAACCAAAAGCCACAAGTTTGAGAATCTTGCTGTAGAGATACTTTTTGTTCAGAGCCACCGATATGCAGATTTCTATCCTTGGGAAGGTGGCTTCTAATACTGTTAAAATGGCATTTGTTGTTTCTGAGATGATCATTTTCCTAATGTAATGACAAAGCTGGGCAGCCAGTCACAGCTATCATGAACACAGCCCCAGCCTTGTCTTACTCCTGCTCTCCTCATGGAGAGTTTTGTCCTAGGAAAACAGTATTTTTGGAGAGAACAGTACTTCCTGCTCTCTGGGATCACAGTGCAACCCCTTTCTCATGGTGGTTTTCACTTACTGCCATGTGGTTTGCACTGAAGGAGAATTTAAGTGATCACTATGTCACCTTACACGTGTGGTGTCCCAATAGACATTGTTGGATTGAAAAATGTTAAAGTCCCCTTAAAAAGGTAAGAATTAGCTCTCCCCCTCACTTACCTCTCTGCTCCCATTTGTATAAGATAAAAAAAGAAAGTACAGACCAGAGCAGTGGTTTTAAAATAGCAGCAGGAACAATCACGAAAACAATCAAAGGCTGAGACTGTATTGATAGAAATTACAAATATTTTCCCAGGAGGGTGGCACAGGTAAAGCTTATCACCTTGGGGTACCATAGTCAGCTTCTCCACTTTAACAACCCACGCAAAACCAAAGTACAAAGAAATAAAGGAGTAGGGTTTCTTTTCATCTATTTCTCTCTCTTTGATTAAAGGAAAATCAGAAAAACACAAGTAGGGTTTGGGGGTGCAGCTCAGTGGTCACGTGTCTGCTTAGCACGTGCAAGACCCTAGTTTTAATCTCCATAACCTCTGCCCCCAAACAAACATCCATGCACAGGCCAGAGAAAAGGTGACTGAGTGTAACACTTGCCATTTTTCTTTTTTTTTAAGGAATGAAACATTTCAGGTAAAGTGTAAGTTCTGTTTGTAAACCCACCATGATAAAACATACTATTTAGGGTGTTCTTTTTTTTTTTCAGACTGGGGTTTGAACTCAGGGCCTTCACCTTGAGCCATTCCACCAGTCCTTTTTGTGATGGGTGTTTTTGAGATAGGGTCTTGTGAACTATTTGCCTGGGCTGGCTTCAAACATGGATCCTCCTGATCCCTGCTTCCTGAGTAGCTAGGATTATAGGAGTGAGCCACCAGTGCCTGGCTAGGGTGTTCTTTTGAATATTTTAACAAATGATAACATGACAGTCTGCAACTTGATTTTCTCAATAGACATTACATTTTTAATATTTATATCAACTGGATCTTAATACAAATAGATCTAGTTCATTAATTTTAAATGTATCATATAATACATTTTTGTAGGTCTGGAGGGGAATGCCTATTAAACATTTTTTTGCATGATTTTTGATCTTTTCCTACTGAAATCTTTTGAAAAATAATAAAAACAAGATAACTTTTGGCTTTGGCATTAGTTCATTTCCTTCAATCCCTTAAGTCTTTTGAACTTATCAAGTATCTAACTTAAAATTTCATTTCAGTGTCCTACAAATGTGCATGGTAATTCACCCTCCAAGAGCTGCTGAACTTGCAACTGCAGCTGCTACTCTAGGCTGACACCTGTTGCAGCAGATCCTCGCTGTGGTCCCTTCCTTCTTACCTGGAAAGCATCGGTCCCTGTTTAGTAGTTCAGTTGCCAGCAGACTTTTTTTGTGTGGCTGCACTGGGGTTTGAACTCAGGGATTCACATGCTTGGTAGGCAGGGCAGGTGCTTTACCACTTGAGCTACTCCACCAACCCTTTTTTTGTGATTTTTTTTTTTCCAGATAGGGCCTTGACAACTACTATTTGCTTGGACTGGCTCTGAACATTGATTCTCCTGCTCTCTGCCTCCTGAGTAGCTAGGATTACAGGAGTGAGCCACTGGTGCAGACTTTTCTTTAACTGAGCTCTTAAGTGGTAACAAAGCTGAGCTAATGATAGTGAGTAACAATAAGAACAGAACTAGTATCTAGAGCTTGTTACAGTGTTTCTCCTTCCCTGCCTTTTATTCTCATAATACCAGAGGAATGAATATGCATTTGTTTTCTGTCCCATTTTTACTCTTAAAAGAAACACTGAGTTTAAATGTCAACTCTGGACAGCACAGACCAGAAAGAGGTGAGAACTGGCCTGGGCCATGCACAGAGGCACTGTTTCTGCCTCTCAGCAACCGTGGTGAGGCCCTCTGAGGAAATCCCATGTGCTGGGCGGATATGTTGTTATGTCCTGACATGTAAGATGTTTTTAGTTTTTGTTCTTTGGAGGAGTTGGGTGAAATGGTGTAACCAGATTTGTGTTTCAGGAGATCACCCTGACTACCTTTAGATGCTGTGCTGGAGGGCCCTAGAGCCTCCAGGAAGTTCAGTTAAGAGCTCTTCCTTTCTCAAGCACCAGGTGGGGAGGAAACTGTTGGGGCAGCTGTCAGTGGTGGGGATGGGGAGGTGGATGCTCCTGGAACGAGTGTAAAAGAGGCAGATTCAACTGGATCTGGCCAGGTCTGGGCTGAGGACTGAGCGAGGGACCACCATGGAAGCTGAATGACTCTCTGGAGCTCTAGGTGTGCAGTTACGAGATTTAAGTGGGTGCCTGGGATTGCTGTCACATTTCAGGTGAAATATAATATCAGGGAAGCCCACCTCATGCTATGTGTGACACTGTTTGACGTTTCCTGAGGGCAGCTGTCTACTTTTTCTTTGAGGCAGGTAGCAGTTTACATCAGGCAGGCAAAAGCTGTGGGTTTCCCTGTATGCTTAGTTAAGGAGATTATGGCTGAAAGGAACCCATAGGAGGAAGTGCGTCACACTCGTATCCAGGGGGATACTGGCTAGTGGAGGGGCTCCTGTGAGCTGACTCCAAAGATGTTAGAGTGTGGCCTGCTGTTGGGGACATTGGCGGGAAGCACTGAGAGGATAGCTGTGTGCAAGAACTTCGGAACTCTTTTCACAGCCCCTGTGGGAAGGTTTGCTAGGGAAGGATAAAACAGGGGTGAACCATCAAGGTTCCTTTTCCATTAACCCTCAATGATGGCCTTTAGGGAACTGAATGGCTTTGTTCAATGTCTCAGCAGGCTCAGAGTTGAGATTTCTGAATCTTAACAGACTTCTTAAAAAACAAACCAAACCTGGACACAACAACAAAAACAGCTAGTGTAAAAATCTGATCTAAAAACGATGTCTGTCTAGTTTGTGCATGGCAACAGATGCGTCCATCACACCATGTCTGCTCTTGTCATTATCCAAAATCTGGGAATTTCAAGGAGTCATCAGCCTTAAATGTAATGTTTAATCTAATCCAGCAATCTCTTCATTCTTAGGCTAAGTTGATTATCAGCTGTGATCACTGGTGTGTTTGCAAAGTTGCAAATGATTGTGTTTAGATTAATGTCTTTTATTTGTGGGGATTAGTGGAAAGGCTGGGGGTGGACAGCCATTTAAGAAGAGTAGGGGAAACATCAGTTGTTTAAAAGCACAGAGAAACTCAGCATTGAGCCCTGTAGTGCTCTGGACTGGAAGTACATGAATGGCCTCCGAGGCGTTCTGCAGCATTTATTCCCATGTTCATTTGGAAGGGAAACATGGGAGGCTGAATAGCACGGGTAAGAGACATGATTTTTCAGGGTGCTCTGGGTACCCTCTCAGAGGCCCCTCTGCTGATTTTATTTGAAAATGCCTTGGTGGACCACAGTCCTTCTGAGAATTGGGCCCCTAAGAAACATTTTTTTTTTCGGGTACTGGGAGTTGAACCCAGGGTCTCACACATGCTAGGCAAGTGCTCTACCACTTGAGCTATGCTCCAGACCTTTGGGTTGTATTTTATTTTTGAGACAGAGTTTCACTGACTTTGCCCCAGCTGACCCTGAAAGAGCAATCTTCCTGCCTCTGCCTCCTCTGGAGCCGGGATTATAGATATGTACCACCATGCTCTGCCCTAAGGAACTCTGTTAACTGTGATTTCCAAATGCCCATAGGTCTGGGAAAACCTTCTAGAATAGCTGTGGATATGACCTTCTCATCTCCTACTCCTCTAGACACTGTGTTCCGCAAGGGGCACTGGGTCTGAAGTGGTGTTTGGAAGGGGAGCTCCTGTCTCTGCTGTCAGCACTGACCATGTGCTCAGCTAGCAAGTCGATTTGCATAAAGCTTTTTGCCTTGTGCTCATTGTCTGGTTTGAAGAGGATTTTATGTTGTGTGCTATGTAGAAAGAAAATGTGCTGAGCTGACCTAAAGCAATAATTATGAAAGCAACCTCTGTGAAGTAATTTAAATCTGTGAGAAACAGTTATGTTCCTTTTTGATGACTTCCCTCCTGATAGTGTCAGGTCCTACAGCCCAAGTCCTGTGAGTGAGAGTCCATTTATACTCCAAACAGAATCTTTTGAGACAGAGTCTCTCTGTATAGCCCAGACTGACCTTGAACTCTCAAATCCTCCTCCCTCAGCCTCCCAAGTTCTGGTATGCACCACCATGTCCAGCCTTGCAATTCTTTACAGCTCCATAACTCTCCAAACTATCTCATGCTGGGTGTCGCCCAGCTTGTTGGATAGACGATGACTGCTTTCTGAAATACACTTTTGAACAGTGACACATTTGAGACTGGGGGCCTTTTGTGCGCATGTTCCAGCCATGTCCGCGTGGCCTCTCCTTTCAGCTTGCTTTGTTTATCCAGCAGCTCATTATTTAAGACGAGCCTGTCAAAATAGGTTAAGTATTCTTTGGGAAATATGGTCACATCCTTGCAATACCACAACTATGTTTAATACAAGGAAGATTGGCTTGATAAGAAAAACATGGTCAACAAAATATTTCCCTGTTATTCTGGTTGAGCTTCCGGGAGCATCAATAAGCACTAGCAAACCCGAGGCCAATAAATTGCCACAGCTGACACTTAAAGACACCAAGGGAAGCCGGGAAAATGATTGCTGATGATTCGTTCTAACTACTTGACCTTCTGACCTCTTCTCTAGATATATGACCAAGATGGGACACTACAGCACTTTATTGATGGTGGGGAGCCTAGTAAGTCGAGCTGGATGAGGTATATCCGATGTGCAAGGCACTGCGGAGAACAGAATCTAACAGTAGTTCAGTACAGGTAAAGTATACCTTGATTTACCACTTACAGAGCTGAAGCCCTTGGGCTTGCATCTGCAAATTCAGGCTTGCTGCTAGTGGTTGAAAAAAATCCTGCAGAACTCTGCACGGATCGGCAGGGATTTTTGTTTTTGTTTTTGTTTTGTTTGGACTAGGTTTCATGAGTCTTCAGAAATAAAGGTGCTGGTAGATGGCCTCTCTCACCTGCATGCATACCCTTGCCTGAATTTTCACAAAGACCTGACTGGGCCCAGCAAGCCCACTGGCTTGGGGCAAATCTCTCCCGCCCCAGCAGATGTGTACACACAGCTGAGTAGGAGTTCGGAGACTTCCACTCAGAGCCCCCCACTTTGAGTCTGCTCCAGGCTCTCTTCCTGGGCGCAGTTTCATTTGCACAAGAACTTCTCAAACCTGCCATGCTCAGCTGCATTGACTAAGCCACGGTCACCTCTCCTGCTCCCTCAAAAGATGCCAGAGCATTTGGATTTGGCCTCTGATGCTTCTATTTTCAGGTTTCCAAGCACAGGGAAGTCTCTAGTCTCCCAAGATGTATGGGCAAAACCCAAAGAGGTAACTGAGGCAACGTGGAGCCCTCCCCATTGTCACTGGGAGCCTGTGGGGCACAAGAAGCAAGACACGTTCTCAGGATGCTCAGCCCCTGTGGTCCGTGCACCTGCTGGTCAACATCTCCACTCAGAAGGCTGGGGTGCAGACGAGAAGGCAAAAAGAAATCAAACAGGAAAAAAGCCCCACCACTAAGCCTTTGCTCAAAATCCCTTGAAAACATGTGCCATATAAATACATGAGCTCGTTATAAACAGCCGTGTTCCCTTTTGAATCAGAAGCAACTCTTTTGCTGTATTAGGCACCACAGACACATCAAAGAGGAGGTCCTGTGCTCGGCAACTTGGAGTCTTGCTTGTGGCTATTTATTTTCTTTTCCTTTTTTTAAAAAAATGAATTTTAAAAAATCTTTTTTCCCTGATAGCCTAAAGGCTGCCCAAATCTGGCTTGCTCTCTGAAGGTCTCCAATCCAAGGGAACATTTTTGGGCATGGCTGACTCACTGCCTTCATTCCCTATGTAGTTTTATTTGATTAACTTATGAAATAGTGCAAGACAGGATCTGGTTACACTGGTGTACAAGGGCTCTGCTCACCTTGACTTTCATGAAGGTTTTACGAAACTCTGAGCTAGAAAATCAGCAAAGATCATGCTTGTCCAGTCAGCAAGAGAGAGTTTGCTCTTGAGGCAAATTCTGAACTTGGGACAAGAAACCCCCCAGAGGAGGGGGCCCGGTTAAGTCATTACCTATCTGCGGATTTTCCAACCCCCTTGTCACGATGGCACTTAAACTCCCAGTTCTCTCTGCCTATCTGTTTTCCATTACTGCAGATCTTTATAAAATGAACTACAAAAACACAATTTTAAAAACTGGCATCCATTACCAGTGACCACGTCCAAAAGTAAGAAAATAGAAAAGTTGGGCCCTGAAGAGCCAGCCTAATTTTTATTATACATGAATGTCCTCTGCACAGAAAGTCAGCTGGTTTAAATTCATTCTGTTATGATTTGTAATATCTAAATGGAATTTTCTTCAAAGCGCCCTTGATTGATTGACCCTTAGCTGAACGTTTTGTTTTTATTTTGAGGCCGACAATAATGTTTGTTGGCATGTGTTCTGCTTCAACTGCGTTGGGACGCCGTGAAGCTATCTTTATGAGTCATCCAACCACAATACTAAATCCATGTCAGCAAAGGAAATATTATCTGAAAAGGGAAAAATCCCTTTGATGTGCCTCAGCGTGCAGCGATTTCTGCAGCCTTGGAAGCTCTGCCCACTTGTAAGGAATGGTGTACCTTACACATTTTCCCCTCGGCCCGCGCCATGCTTCAGAAGACCACCCATCGCTCCAAAACAGTCCTGCTCTTTGAGCGGCAAAGTGTGTCACTTGGTTTTAGCGCATTCATTTGCCGGGCGCTGTGTTTATATTATAGGAAGCCAAACCGAGAGCTGAAATGTTACAAGGGTGAAGTACAAAGTAGACTCAATTTTTCTCAAGTTAGGAGATGCCAGTGATTTATAGCTCGGCTCCAATTTTGATTTTTTTATGTAGCAGTGGAAAGAATTAATAAAATGCACAGCTCTTGGAGATGCAGAGGAGGAAGGGTGGTGAGGACTGGACAACTGGCTGGAGTTTTTGTCAGATATTCATAGAATGTTGGGGAAAAACATTCTGCTTAGCTAGCAGTGCCCTCGTGAGATGGAATGGCAGGGAGTGGGGAAAATAACAAGATAAATGAAATTTTTGCAGCTGCAAGTGAAATATTGAGAATCTGCACTTTTTTATTGATCTTTATGATCCTGTTGCCAAGAGTCACTTTGTGGGGACAAAATATGTTGACAAGTGCATATCTCACTGCCGTGAAAAATGTGGGGAAGGATTCGCCTTATGTCTGCAGTGTTCTACGAGGAACAAACTGCTTCTCAACAGCCAATTCCATACAGAAAGGAAATTTAAGGCCCACCAACCCTCCATGCTTCTGTCTGGAACTTGAGGCTAATATTTGTAGTAATCCTTCATTGAGAAAACCAGTCGCAGTCTCTTCATTTTTTTCTTTTTTAATCTGTAGATTTTTCTTGATGGTACCAAAGCTGTTATAAAAAAGGTTTATTTCTTGCGACCTTCCCTGTATCATTTCACAGTGTAATCTTTCAGCCAGCGTAAAGTGCTCGCTTGTATTTATTGAATTTCCATCCATTTTATAAGAGGGCTTTTCTCTCCTGCGTCCAAGTTTAGAGAAGAAACCATGGAGAGGATTTTTATTTCTCTTCATCCTTCTGTCACAAAGCTGCTTTATTTTATGACAATTTTGGGAACTCTCACATCCAAGATGCCAGAGTTCTCTTAATGCTTTTTCTGCAGGTCAGTAGAACTCATTTACGTCTGAGGTGGGGCACCACTGCCTTTCACTTTGCCAAGAGAGAGTGTTTTCTCATTAGTGTGAGGTAGAATTTTTTTTTAAAAGAAACTTTTTCTCTCTGCTGTTTCCTGGGCCAAATATCTGTCTCTTCCAGACCCTCTAAGGAGAGACACTGATGAAAAAACTGTGTGCTGTTTATCATACTGAGTTACAGGCTCTACTTGGTTGCTGGGGTTACTAAGGTGGGTGTAGATTTATGATAAGCAAACTGTTGAGGTGGAACTGGGCAGGCCATTTCCCGGGCAATAAAAATGTGGGGGCACGTGAGTCCTACGTATTACTAAGCTGGGTTTTCTTTTGTTTTGAATAGGTCGAATATATTCTACCGAGCCTGTATAGATATTCCCAGGGGCACCGAGCTTCTGGTGTGGTACAATGACAGCTATACGTCTTTCTTTGGGATACCCTTACAATGCATTGCCCAGGATGAAAACTGTAAGAATTTATTTTAGCTCTGAATTCACATCTCAAAATACCTATTTCAAAGCTAACTTTTAAAGAGTGTTCTTTGAGACATCTGAAATGTGGTTTGCTATAACACCTAATGCACACGTGCACCGGTCCATTCTGTCACTTTCTTTTCCCTGTATGTTGTTTGCTTTTTCACAGGGTATCTTAACCTACACTAGCTAATTCTTCTTCACCTGTGCATAATTTCAAAGCCTTTGCCAGAGTTTTAAAGAATTGCCGACAACAAAGTTAAGTCAACTGGTATTCTCTGAGCATCTCCTGTGTGTCTGCTTCTATGCTTGACACCTTAGGGGTTATAAGACAGCTTAAGATACAACTTTCAAGTCAGGCATAATGGTGCATGCCTGTAATCCCAGCTACTTGGGCGGCAGAGGCAGGAGGATCATAAATTTGAGGCCAGCCCAGCAAAGTTAGTGAGACCTAATACCAAAAACAAAATAAGGGATGGGGGTGTGGCTTGATGATAGAGCACTTGCCTAGCAAGTGTGAGGCCCTGGGTTTAATCCCCAATACCGACAAAAAACAAAACAGATACAACTTGTGCTCTGAAGGGATGCAGAGTCTCATTGGAGCCACACTACGTGAAAAAAGGGTTGCTTCATTGGGATATCACCCCTGAAGTCCACCAGGTGCGTGCCCCTAAGTTGTCATTAAAAGAAATGGTAGTTAAAATTGTAGGTATATGACTGTGGAATCTGGGAATTTCTCATTTTTTTTGGTTTAGAACCATATAATTTTTTTCTATCTTGTTATCATGTCAATCATTATCTTTTTTCCCACTTTGAACATTTTGTAAATTATTATTGTACTCGGGGTGCATTGTGACATTTACCAAAGTTCTTATACTATGTCATAGTTGAGTTCACCCCTCCATCATTTTCCTATTTCAACCATTATCTTTAAAAGAATAATTAACATTTAGGCAAATGTGAACTTGCAACAACTTTTGTTTCTGTTTTATCAGTTCTTTGAGAAACATAACGATTTCCAATAGTGGGATAGGTACTTGCGTGCTTCTGTGAGGAACACTGGCATCAATGGTGCTATGTTAAATTGGCTAATCTGTGACCCGATGATCAGACATTTCACAAAAAGAAACAGGCAACAGATCTATTTTGTTCATGAATAGAAAACTCGATTTCAAAAGATGTTTTCTTTTCTCTTCCCTACTTACTTTCTCACACATATGTGTGTACACAGCAACTACTGATCACTATGCTGATGGTCAGATCTTTCCTTCCCATGTTTTTAGTTTCTTTGTAAAAAGTGAAATCTCCCAAAAGCCTATTAGGATCATCTTTCCTTACCCTAGCCCCACACCAACCTTGATCAGAAAACAGATCTGTGGATGTGTAGTGCATATCTTGCTTCCTAGTTCCCTTGGGAAGTTTCTCTTCTACTCTGATGCTCTTGTTTGAAGGAATGCCTATTTTCATAGAAGCAAATCTCTGTGTGGGACACCAGTGTGCAGTTGGTGTTAGAGGCAGATATGGACATGGAGGTGCCTTCTGTGGAATGACTCCAAGCTTGTCTCCCCCAAGACTAGATGGAGGGTCATGCATGGGAAGGCACCAGTGTTGGCATCCTGATCTGCTGACATGGGCTTGTCTACATTCTTGAACCTCACCTCCTAAAGCATGTAGTTTAACCCAAAAGAGATTCCAGAGATCCTGTGAGGTCTCGTTTCCCCTTTCAGACAACCTGCTACAGACATTGAAGATGTGTCATGTGTGTTGAGGAATGTCTAGGAGTAAACACATCAAGACCTAGAGTTCTAAAGTACATAACTCATAGTTCAAGCATTCACTCATTCATTCATTCATTCATTCTATTGAACACCTCCTGTAGGCCAGTGACTTTGCTAGGTGCCGAAAATCCAGGAGGGAACAAAACAAGAATCCCTGCCTGGAGGTAGAGAGACCCACAAGTGTATAAATGAATATTTGGTCAGATGGTGATGTATTGTGGAGCTAATAAGGCAGAATAGGGAAAAGTGGGGCCAGGAGTTGGGGGCCATAGACCCCAGGTTGGGCAGTCCCCACAGGGAGGTGGGTTTTGCGCAAAGATTTAAGGAGGTAAAGGAACAGGACATTTTTTACTTTGGAGAAGAGCATTGCAGGTGATTGAGCTAAACATGTCAAGGCCCCAGGATAGGAATATGCCTGGCAGGTGGAGGAGTGTCCCAGAGGTTGGCCTGGGTGCACGTGGTGAGTGAGGGGGAGAAGATAACTCAGGTATGGGTGGGAGGGGGACAGAGATCTGCTCAGGCCCTGGAGGCCACTGCGTGGTCCCTGGCTTTGCTTTGTGTGAGCTAGGTGACAGGCCTAGTGTGGGGTTTGAGCAGTAGTGAGGTAGACTGACTGAAGTTCTTGCAGGAGACAAGACAGTGAGGAACAAGGTGGAGAATCCAAATAGGGGCTCGAGTAGGAACCCAGGAGAGAGATGATGGTACTTTGGACTGGTGGTAGAGTGGTGAGAAGTAGTTAAATTCTGGACATATTTTGAAAGTAAGGCCAACAACATTTTCTGACTCATTAAATGCTGAGTGAGAGAAAAAAGGAGTCAAGAATGACTTCAGGCTTTGGGTCCAAGGAGCTAGAAGGCTGGCTTGACCATTTACTGAGTTCTGAGACAGAAATGGAAACTGTGGAATGGCTATTAGGCACTGCCTTTGTTAGTAGCGATGTGGATCTCTGGAGTGGAAGTCACATATCCACACATGATGCTTTTACATGGGTAGAGGGATTAAGAGTTCGGGCAGAGTATTTTGTTGTTCACAGCCACATGACGACAGGTGACCCTTGTGGTCTTCAGATTTGGGGCCATAGTGCCATCAAAAATGTACTTTCTGAAAACAATATGTGGTTTGCTTTTCAGTCCTTGTTTCTCCTATCTTCCCACCTATGTGAAGCATTCATGAGGTTGCTAGTTAGAGTATTGGATAAGCTTTACAGGGCATATGTTGTATCATTTAGCTCCTTGGAAGAAAACTCACAAAACCATAACAGCTTGAGGTAGGAAAATTAAGCAGCTCTTCTGGATTTAACCCAGAGTTCTAAATAAGGATTGAAGGAAGTTTAAAGGGAATTAAGTCATCGACTAAAAGGCTCAACAGTGACAGTGCCTCTCTCCCTTTAGGGTATTATCAGAATTTTATTTCAGTTCCTGTCTCAAAGTCATATATCTGTCATGTGATTGGCCACCCAAGAAACCAGCAGAAGGCTTCATGAGATAGTGAGATGAGATATATGACTTTGTCTCGAGGATGGGTTCTCAGTCCATATGATTCACAGAGACCTGGGCAAGCTTTCTCACGGGGATTCCTTATTCAATGCCCAAAAACAAACAAAAAAAAACCTAGTGTGATTTAAAAGCAAGCTTGGATGTGTGAAAGTGCAGGACCAAATTTAACAGATAGCTTCGAGGCCCTGAATAATTTAAATCGTCTCAGCTGGATTAGCAATTTTAAGACAGTTTTTACCCTTCTGAGCTAGCTAGTCACAAAATAAATTAGGTATATTAAAAAGAAGCTTCTTGAGATAAAAGAGTTATTGGATAAAAGGCCTCTGCAGAGTCTCCTTAGAGTGCTGTGTACAGGGCAAACCAGTAAGTGCTCACTGGATACATTTTTTATTGCAATTATTAGAAGAGATGAAATATTTCAGCAGATTTTCCCTTGCTAATGAAATTGATACCTGGACCAAGACATTCAAGGAAAATGTGATTTTACTTAGTGAATAATACTTATTAAGCACTTTCATTTATAAAAATCTCATTTTATTCCCATGGTTCTTTCAACATTCTAAGTACACATTTCCCATTGACTGTGTCCGGTGGGCTTGGGCACAGTAAGTACCCCCCTCCGCCAGCAGCGGGGTGCTCAAGGCAGACTGACTGCCCGGGCAAGCCAGTGAAAGCTGCCTGCACTCAGAGAGAAGTCAGCACTTCACACAGGCTTTTGGGCTCTGGAAGCAATTCCTATGCTATTTTCTTTTTAAAGAATCCTAGTTATAAATGTAATAGAGCTCCAAAGAGAAAGCCTGAAGGACTGCTGGTGTGGACAGATGGCATCCGCAAGAAGGAACGTGGTTCCCCAAGCTTCCAGTGGGGGATTAGCTCCTGCAGAGTGTAAAGACCTAGTGCATTCATATTCATTTCAGAGGAAATTAAAAAAAAGCCCGGGAATAAATGTTAAACAAGTCTTCCTGCTGCTTTTTCTGTCTGGGCATATGAAACTGAGATAAAATCCCTGTGACTTGGTGGCAGTGTGCAGTTGTGCTGGGTCAGGCCCTGCCTCCAGGAGACCTGCCTGTTTCTTTTGATTTTAAAGAACAGAAATAAAAAGGGGCACCTCTGAACAGTGCCTCTCACCCCACTATCACACCAAATGGGAAGGAAGCTGGGCCCTGCGCAGAGAGGGCCCTACCAAACTTTTACCATGTGTGATCGTTAGGAGACCAACAAGAACATCTGTGTGCAAGGCCCAAAGAGAGGCATTGTGCTGCCGTGGAAAGACTCAGGCCCTGTCCTGAGTTTTGGAAGGACGGAAGACATGTAAATACACCACTTAAGTGCACATCTCCGTGCAGCGCTGCGTGGGGACAGTGGGGACCCGTAGTAGCTAGAGTTTGGGTAGGAGGACCTACACTTCCAACCCTGTGCACAGAAGGAAGCTGGCGTGGACTCCTTACATAAGTTCAGGATAGGAGAGAACTATTCTGTCCCTGAATGGGGACTAGAAAAATGCTGCCCTCAAGCTAAGAGCCAAGGAACTGTGTGTCTTGGGCCATTGGTGAGAAAATGGTCACACTGTAAAAACTAGCTATCACTGTAGGGTGGTATGGGCTTCACTTTGCATTGCCTCATGCATAAAGAAAGCCTGGGCTAAGGAACTTATATAAAAATTGGTCTAGAACTAGAGAAACCTTCAGGTTTCTAGAAAGAGCAAAAGAGAAATGGACGCC